TGAAACACAGTACCACCTCCTTAGCAAGATTCGAATCTCTGCAGCCTCGTGCCTGACCCAGTCCTTCTAAAAAGTTTCAGGTTTTTTTAAGCATTGATGGCCCCTCCTACAGTTCGTGCAATTTCCCGAAGCCCTAAAAAATCCTAAAGCCCGAAACCCCAAAGCCCTAAACCCTAATCCGGTCGGATACCTTCGTTGGGGAGTTTCTCGTGTTTGGGATCCTTGAAGGGGGCGGCTGTCCTTAGGGGCCCGAACCCCGAAACCTCTGAAGCCTAAACCCGGAATCCCACAGGGGCACTCTCAACCCCCCTCCCCCCCGCCCCAAACCCTAGACCCTAAACCGTAAACCCTAAAGCCTAAACCCAACAAGCCCAAGGCTAAAAGGTAGCTTATGCCATCCTGTGCATGCAAGCCCCTAACTTCAGCTTTGACAGGAAGTCTCTCCAACGATGCAGGCCATTTTGGGTTGTTGGTTTCGGGCTTACCTTTCCCCGAGATAATATAGTTTCTGAAGGGTTTAGATGTGGAAATAATGCCAAATTCCCCGACAAAGGGAGGTTTCTTCCGGTTCAGAGTGTAGGGGTTGAGGTCACGGGTTCAGTCTCAGGACCCAAGGATTTCATGAGTACCTTTTGGCTTTGGGGACGTCCAAGGATGCCGGGATGCTTGGGGGAATGTATGGATCGGAATATTGAATATCAATATTTTGTTGTGTCGTTCCGAGTGTAAAGTATATCTACAGTGTAATTTCCGCTCCTCACTAAAGCAACATGAAACATGGTCTCATCATTCAGGCCCCATTTGGGGGTTTCCGAGAATAAGGGACCCTAATATGGTACCCTAAATAATAGGATCCCGATTATAAGGACCCCAAAATAAGGTACCCTAATTTTCTGAAACTCCTATTTAGGGTTTAGGGTCGGCATGCTTGGTCTTGAGCTTTCTGCTCGACTTCGGGGGGCTCTCTGGCATGGCCTAAGGGTTTAGGGTTTAGGGTTTAGGGTTTGGGGTTTAGGGTTTAGGGTTTGGGGTTTAGGGTTCGCAGTGTAGGAGCCTGAAGATCTACTGCTCCGAAGTGTTTCGTTCTTGGAGGTTCATGGGTAGTTATAAGTAGGGTTATAAGTTCCAGAACTATAGCTATAACCTATATTAGGGGACTTACAACTCCACTTACAACTACCCATGAACCTCCAAGTACAGGTCGCGCAGTGTAGGGGCCTGAACATCTACTGTTGTAACGTGTTCCGTAATGCAGACACATTAGAACATACCGTGCCCTGCAGTATCAGTTTTAAATGTGAAACCCCTTGCTTGGAACGACCGAAGGACAGGTCGTTCGCTTTGAGCCAACTCGGAAAGTGCAGCACCCCAGCATTGACCTTCTAGGCTGTTCGGATTTATGACGTGCAAGGCTGAAGCAATCACATAGTCTTCATGAGCTTGATACCTACTCTCAACAGAGACAGGCCCGTCACTGTAGCTCGTTTGGTTGAGTTGTAGGGGGTTGGGCTTCAGGGTCAAGGGTCTGTAGTCCAAGCCCTGAACTCCCTAAACCGTAAGCCACTCATCACCAACAACTCGCTATCTGAAATGAACATATCCGCGCTAAGCCTTGAATGCAAGAACACCTACACCCTAAGACCAAAACTAGGAACCCTGCACCGTAAGCCCTAAGAGAAACGATCCTTCAATAATGGCACCAGACGATGACAATAACAATGCAGTATTGACGGCGATAACAATACTAGCATTAGCCGTGGGGATAAGTAGAATAACAGGAACAATTCCAAACATCTCGTTCGTAGGATTGCTGACAACTATAAAAGAGCAAGAATACTAATCAGAAGGTGATCAATAACAACCACACTAATGGTAAATGACAACGGTGACGATTATAATGATAGCGAAAATAAGAACCAGAAGAAGAAGAAGAAGAAGAATGCTACCGAGAAGAAACCGAAGAACCTCAGCAGAGGAGCCCAAGGAGGAGTCTGTGCCTCAGCTGCCAGCGGAGGAGAAGGCAACGGTATCGCAGAAAGGCTTCCGTAAGGTTTCTTCTCTCAGGGTTCTATAGAAAGGTGCCAATATAATATAGGGGCCTAAATATTTACAATACCAGCTTGGGGGTTCCTTTTTATGTTTATACTAATTATAGTATAAAGGACCCCAAAACCCTATTCCAATTATTAAGGCCCCTACATCATATTATAGGGTTCGGGGTTCAGGGCTGCGTGTAGTGTTGCATTCAGGGTTTCAATAGGGTACTATATAGAGTGTAGGGTTCAGGGGTCAGGGATTCTTGGGGAATTGGGTGTTTCAGGCTTCAGGCTTTACTATCCAGGTTGTCGGCTGAGTAATGAGGGTCAGCGTTAAGGGTTAGCGTTTGTAGAGTGGGGATGATCATGTGCCGCAGGCACTCATCTTGGCCGCCGTGTTGTCCCCCGTTGTTGAATGTTATAGACACCCTAAACCCTAAACCCTAAATCATGTATTTCGATTTTGACGTGCTCATGTCCTTGCTATCGAGTTTAGAGTTTAGGGTTTAGTCTTTAGGGGTTTAGGGGTTGAGGGCTTAGGGTTTAATGCCTACAACCTCATAGATATTAAGTCCCGAAGGTACTTGATTGTACCCCAAAAGCCCTGTAGCCCTAAACCCTAAACCCTAAACCCTAAACCCTAAACCCTAAACCCTAAACCCTAAACCCCAGACGCAGGCTTCATCCTCACAGCCCACTGTGAAGGAGGGCGTGGAGGAGGCCAGGGAGGAATCAATAGGGGGGTTTCCGAAAATCGGGGACCCTAATATAGCACCCTAAGTAATAGGATCCTTATTTTAAGGACCCCAAAATAAGGTACCCCAATTTTCGGCAACTCCCATATCATTGAGTAGTCACTCATGGCATTGAGTCTATGTTTAGGCTTTCGGATTTAGGGTTTGGGGTTTAGGGCTTGGAGTTTAGAGTGTTCAGGGCTCGGGTGCAGGATTTACGGCCAAGGCTGCATGCTGTCTATCTCCCGCTGTTATCGTGTTCTTTGTTTTTGACTCCTGCTATGCCGCTCCTTGGCAGCATCATGCATGAAGGGTCTGCCTAAGGATGCCCAAGATCCGTAAACCTTATAATCCAAACCCCTAAACCCGAATTGCATGCGCTGCCTGTCAACAGTGCTCCCTGATCCATAGGTCCCTTTCTATGAGGCCTGGAAACCATGCAAGTCCTACCTGAATCCCAAATACCTTGCTTGTTTGGGGTTCCTTATCATGACGTCCTTAGTTAGTATATACAAGTATACACATGTATGTAGGTATAGATATATATACATGTATATATATATATATATATATATATATATGTTCGCCTATCTTTATATATATATATATATATGCCCAGTCAAACTCCCAAAAGCCTTGCCGCACCTGTGAGTTCAGCACCAGTTTTTGACTTGCTTCTTTCATCATGGTTTGGGTTTAGAGTTTTAAAGGGTTTAGGGTTTGGGGCTTTGTGTTTAAAGCCTTACAGCCTTTGGGTTTACGGTGTTTGGGTTTAGGGTTGGGAGGGTAAGGGCTTAGTGTTGCTGGTTTGGGGTTTGCGGGTTTGGTCCTGTGGCTCCAATAGCCTTACAACAAGCAAACACAAGTTTCAACCATATTAAACCCAAAGCCTTTAAAGGAGCCGATAAGACAGATGTCCACAAAGAAGCCTTGGCGACCCCTGAACCCTGAAACCCTGAACCTTTACGCCTTAAGCCCTAACCATAAACCCTAAACCCTAAACCCCTTAAGCCCTAAACCGTAGCGCTTCTGTACGAAGGTGGAGAAAAAGCTCGAGGCAGTTCTGGACTGTGCGGCCTCGGCTGCTGACGAGGCAAAGGAGGCAGTCAAAGAAGAGGTGAAGCAAGAGGTGGGATAGAGCTTAGGGTTTAGGCTTAGGGTTTAGGGTCTGGTTTAGGGTGAGGGTTTTGGGCGGTTTAAAGTTTAAGGGTTCAGGTCTTTAAGGGTTTCTTTGAAGGTGTCCTTTGTGGGTTGCCTTGAAGCCTTGCTACAAGGGTTACTAATAATTTTCTGTAGCCTCCTAATTGCTATACTGTTATATACTCCGAGAACCTATTCTAGTTGTTAAGGAGGGTGGATGCGTTTTCTTTGGTAGGGGCTTAGTTGTTTGGATCTAGAGTGCAGGGGTTGTAGGGCTCATGCAACGGTTGCGGTGAGTGTATCTATGGTGAGGAACCTACACTGCCGTGTGACAAACTGGAACATTTGCCTACTCCAGCTAGACAAAGGGTGTGGCGGTACCGAGGTCTTTGGTGCTTGAGGCCCAGATGATGGGGGTGCTACTGTTGCCAATACTTCTGCACTATCCCCACAGTTCATCCACGCCTTGTGTGATGCCGAGAAGCACGACGACCGTCCTGCTGCTACTACTTCTGCGACGACGACGACTACTTCTACAAACAGTACTACCGCTACGAAAACTACTACTTCAACCGCTGCTGCCGCCACTAATGTATCCTGAGTTCACAAACAACAACAACAACGACGACGACGACAACAACAACAACAACACAAAGAACACACAACCACAACGACACCACGACAACAACAACAACAACAACAACAACATCAACTACAACTACAACTACAACTACGACTTCAACTACAACTACAATTAAAACCACAACGACAACTACAACGACAACTACCACTACCACTACCACTACCACTACCACTACCACTAGTGCTACTACTACCACTACTACTACTACTACTACTACTACTTCCACTACTGCTACTACTACTACTACTACTACTGCTACTACTACTACTGCTGCTGCTACTACTACTACTACTACTACTACTACTGGTAGTGCTAGTGCGAGTGGTACTGGTACTGCGTCTGCCAAGATCGCTTACTATTACGACTACCACCACGATCTGATCCCATCATCGCTCAACCCAAACACACTCTCTGCCCTTGGAGCAGGTAAAGAAGCAAGCGGAGCAAATGGCACGCAAGAAAGTTGGGCACAAGGGCGTGCGTCACCAGGAGCCTCCCCCGCCGGAATCGTCGGGGGGTCCTCTGACGATCCTGAACTCAATTAAGTCCGAAGTAGCAGGAGTGTGAGGGTTCTGGCTTCAGCGTTGATTTACATTCATGATTGAGGGCATTCTGTTGGGGCTTTGAGTACAAGGTGGACGAATTAAATGGCGAGGACATATAAAAGTTTAGGTTTTAGGGTTCCTTCGCCCTGCTTTCGTCCAGAGCCGCCAAGGATGCCGGCCCGGAAAATCCTGGAGGAGTATCAGGGCTTTACGGAGGCGGAAGGGCGTACATGGAACAGAAGGATGTTAGACTTAGACGGCTTAGAACCCTAAATCCTAAACCCTAAACCCTATACCGTGAATCCTAAACCCTAAACCCTATACCTTAAATCCTAAACCCTAAACCCTATACCCTATACCCTAAATCCTAAAACCTAAGGGTCCTCAGGGCTCAGTGTTCGCCCTAAGCCCCCTAAACCCTAAACCCGTAGAACGCATGGCATGAGCATGGAACCCACGAGCAGTTGTTCGCTTTTTCTTTACATGCGGAGACACCGGGAAAATGTTACCTTACTTTTACCGACCAGAAACCTACTTTTTTTGTAGGCTCTTATCATAAACCCTAAGGTAGAACTTCTGTGGACCCTGGACATGAGTACGTGTTGGTAGGTTAAGGTAGTTACTAAGTTTCCTGAACCTCTATACGCTAAACCTCAAAGCCCTTTTGATCCCCTTCTAGGAACCCTTTATAACCTAATAACCATAAACCCTGAACCCTAAACCCTAAACCCTAAACCCTAAACCCTAAACCGTGTAGGGTTCACGGTTTAGGGCCCCAAGACCGTAAAGTAGAAGCCAGAAAGTTGGAACATCGTTATCCCCATGCCTTTAAGGTGAAGTATAAGCGATCCTAGCATTAGTCCTCCTAACTCCATGTTCCAACTTTCTGGGGTTCACTCTATAAAGGTATAAAGAAGCCCCAAATCCTAAGGCCCTGAACCCTAAACCGTCGACCGTAGAGCGAGTTGTTTTGCCACAGGCAAGTCTTTGCCAGTTGCTATGCCGGGTTGAGCGTCTGAGCTCTACTCCCTTGATCTTCTACGTGGAAGAGGCATACGAAGCTTGAGCTTACACAGTGAAGCCCTTAAAGCGTGAGCCCTAAACAAACCCTTAAACTCTAAAACCTGAAAGAAGCTAAAGCCCTAAACGCAATGCCCTAAAGCCCCAAAGCCCTAAATCCCTGAAACCCTAAACCCGAAACCCAAAGCCCTAAAGCCCAAAAGCCCTGAATCCCTAAATCCCAAAACCCTGAATCCCTAGATTCCCCTACGGTTGATGCTATAAATCCTGCCTTACCTTAAGGACCCTAAACTATCGGAACTATGGGAATTATGGTATGTTCCTTTTTTATGGCCCCTAAACCCTAAACCCTAAACCCTAAACCCTAAACCCTAAACCTATGGGTAACGCAGGATGTATATCACCAACCCTAGTGCCCTATTGCTTCAGGACTTCAAGGCTCCCGGCTTTTAAAAAAAGAAGGGGCCTTCTCCCCAAAAAAGGAGTTTAGGGTTTAGGGTTTAGGGTTTAGGGTTTAGGGTGTAGGGCCTTCTCCCCCAAACAAGGAGTGTAGGGTTCCCTACCTTCAAGGATGCTATAGGGTCCTACAGTGGAGTTGCCTTTGAAAGGCACCCTTAAAGGGACCCTTAAAGGCACCCCTAAGAGTTTCTCTAGGGGTTTAGGGTTTAGGGTCTACTTAAAGGTTCATGGGATTTCGTAACTAGGGTTTAGGGTTTAGGGTTCTAGGATTGTTTGAATGAAACTAGATGTATAGCTACTTATAACCCCAGGTAAGGTGCTGATAGCTGTACGTACTAAGTCCCATGAACCTCCGAGGGTCAGTATAAGGTCATCGCACCATATACCCGAAAACCGAACCGACATGACGCAGGTTTCCACATGCATCCCCTATGGTACCCTCTACCGAAGCCTTTGTAGAACCCTAAACCCTAAACCCTATATAAACCCTAAGCCAACCCTAAACCCTAAAACGAACCCTACAACCCTAAACCCTAAACCCTAAACCCTTAACCTTAATTCCTAAGCCCTAAACCCTCAACCCTAAACCCTTCCGGGATTCAGGGCTCCGGACCGTCAGTCGTCGGGTTGCAAGGTTGAGCGTGTAAGGTGCAGAGCTGGACCAACGGTTTCGGGTTTCGGGGTTCGGGGTCTAGGGTTTAGGGTTTAAGGTTTGGGGTTTAGGGTTTAAGGTTTGGGGTTTGGGGATGACTTGAAAGGGCTTGTTAGTTTGTAAGAGTATACAGTATAGTGTGGTCCCTGTATGGGTAGCTATCTGAGTCCTTATGTAAGGGTGCCGTACCATTTCTGGGAGCTAGAAAGGGGCCCTAATGTGGAGAACTACCCATATCCGTGATGCGAAATCAGGATCTTGATTTTGGGGGTGTAGGTACCTGGACCTTTTGAAAAACCTACCTTTTGAAGACCTATATAAGGAAGCCATAATAAGTTAATAAAAGCCCGATCTTCCAAAATCCCGTAATTGAGGAATGTACATCAAATCATATTCGGGATCCTCCTTTGGTTTAGGGTTTAGGGTTTAGGGTTTATTGTTTAGGGTTTAGGGTTTAGGGTATATTCTGCAACTAAGGGATATTGGAAGATCTGGGTACCAAAGCCGCCCAGGACCTTAACGCTACACCCCAAACCTCCGAACCCCCAGCCCGTGACCCCCCCCCGCTACTTGGAGGGTCATGGGACTTAGTCAGTACAGTTACAAGTACCTTAATTAGGTTATATGTAAGTTTAAGTATAGTTACCTTATTTATAACCTTATCTGCTAAGTCCCATGAACCTTTGAGTAAACCCTAAACCCTCAACCCTAAACCCTAAACCCTCAACCCTAAACCCTAAACCCTAAACCCTAAACCCTAAACCCTAAACCCTATTCTAATTTTTTCAGGCTCTTCGGGCCCCTGGCCCCTGACCCCTCAACCGGAGCCCTAGTATAGAACCCTAGGGTTTAGGGTTTAGGGTTTAGGGTTCAGGGTTTCGGGTTTAGGGTTTAGGGTTTAGGGTTTAGGGTTTAGGGTTGAGGTATAGTACCCTGAAAAGGAGCCCTAAAATCTAGTTGCTAAGTCCCTAAACACTAAACCCTAAACCCCTAACCCCTCAATCCTAAAACCTGTAGATCCCTGATAGTTAGGGAACCCTGAACAGATCCCTTATACTAAACCCTAAACCCTAAACCCTAAACCCAGGATAACGAGCACAACGAGCCTCGGGAAGTCGAAGACATCCCGAACGAACCCTCCGTCAAGAACCAGGACAGTGACCGGGTCCTCGGTTGTACCCTAAACCCTAAACCCTAGTTTAGGGTTTAGGGTTTAGGGTTTAGGGGTTTGGGTTTAGGGTTTGCTCTCTTAAAATCGGACTTAGTAACTAGTAACTAGGGTCGTAAACAAGGTAACCATACTTCTAATCACTTGTACCCCCAGCAAAGGTACTTATGACTGTACCTAAGTCCCTTGAACCTCCAAGTAAGGAGTACACCTCAGGGTTTTTTTAAGGGTTCCTTTCAGGGATCTATAGGTCAACGGGGTAGTGCTTACTAAGTCCCATGTGCCTGCAAGTACATACCACCCAGTGTAAATCTAGTCAATATCGAAGACATCCCCCAGGAGCCACCCGTGAAGAACCAGGACTCCTTTCTTCAGAGTTTTTTTTTTGTGTGTGTGGGGAGGGCATATACTGGCGTTGACATGGCTGGTCGAGGGCAGAGATTTTGCGGTTGAGGGTTCAGGTTAGTGTGAGTGCCATTGTTGGTAGTACTATAACTTTTCCGACTGATCATTTCATGTCATATCAGGCCAGTTTCCGTCTGGTTTCATTTCTGCGTGTCATTTTCGCCTCTCCTGGGTCTTCTGTTCGCTCTTTTCGTATGAAGACATCACCGATAACGCAGCACAGTGATTCTTACTGCGGGATGGGGCTTGGGGAGTTCATGGGACGTGGATGGAACTGTTTGTTGGGTTTTCTTGTGTTGAGAGTGCGCAGGTTCTGGCTTATGGGCTTGCGCTGGTCGGGTCGGTGTGCTGTGAATCTCAGGCTCGTCGGACTTAGTACAGTTAACATTACCTCAACTTGGGTTATAACTATATAGATATAGATTTCGTACCTCATTTATAACACTAGTTCAAAAGTGCCGTGAACCTTTAAGTAGACCCTACACCCTGAAACCCTAAAGGAACCTTAAAAGGAACTCTAAACCGTAGTTGCTACGTCCCATGATCCTTGATGTGGAGGAGGAGGTCATGAAGGCATCTGAGAAGGATGTTGAGGGCGTCATTACCAGCAGCATGTGAAACATGAGCTGCGGGCAGCAAAGGGGCCTTAAACTCTTATATTATTCCTTATAGTCAGCTGAGAACCCCATCCAGGAATCTAAAGGAGCCCTATTCAAATGCTTAAGGTCCACACGTTACGTCTACAGAGATTTCTCTTTCCCGTGACGGGATGCTCGCAGATCTCAGGACGAGCCCACGTTTTAACTGTGTTTTGAGCCCGTGCCTGCGTTTGCGAGACAGCTGGTGTGCAGACGCTCGAGCTGCGACTGCTACTGCGCTTGTCCTTCAGTCAGGAGCCTAAAATGGGGACCAGCCTGTGTATGTTTGGGTTTTTAGAAGGCATTTCTAAACCCTAAACCCTAAATCCTAAACCCTAAACCCTAATAATTACCAATACTGTTTTGGGGGTTTCTTACTGTAAATATAGCATAAAGGGCCCCGAGACCCTATTCTAATTATTAAGGCCCCTACATTATGGTTGGCGGCTTTACTTTCTAGCCCCAAAGCATAGCTGCCGCAGATGCCACGCATGTCAGAAACTCCATCGCTATGTCTGGAATATGTGCATAGCAAGAAAGGTACTTGAAGGTTCAGGGGTAGTTGTCACTAGGGTATACAGCACCCTAGTCCAGACTCTAGCTACATCATTACTCCCCACACCCACACTAAGTAGAGCCTAAACCCTAAACCCTAAACCGCAAACCCTAAACCCTAAACCGCAAACCCTAAACCCTAAACCCTAAACCTTTAAACCCTACACCCTAAAC